CTGCATGTGTCTCTGTGAGGGAATCAGTTCCACTGGAAGTTGAATTACAGACAGTTGTGAGCTTCCATGTGGGTGCTGGATATTGAACCCATGTTCTCTGAAAGAGTAGCAAATACTCAATTGCTGAGCCTTCTCTTCAGCCCCTTGGTTTTTGATTTTTTTTAAGACATGGTCTCACTTGGTAGTTTATGATGGCCTGGATCAGGCAAGACTTGAACTTACAGCAATTCTCCTGTCTTGGCTTTAAATCCTGGGATTACTGGCATATACCACCATGCATGGTTCCAAATCCTAGTTTTAGCAGAAAAACTGGTCCTGTGGAAAGGTTTCTTCCTTTTCGGAGTAGTGTTTTTCCTCCTGCCTGGAGATAGGTAACAGCCCGATCATTTGTATTGGAAACTTTGTGTCATCTAAACAGGTATAATAATAGTAGCCTCCAGCTCTCTGCCACCAGGGCCCCCTGAAATCTGAATGAAGCCTTTTCACAGACAACTGTGAAAAGAATACTGTGATGTTAAGCTGGCATGACCAGAAGGCAGAGTTCATAGTAGCGATTGCTTTATCAGACAGAGGGAGACACCATACAGAGGAGCAGAGGTCTAGGTAGGCAGTGGAGTGTCCCAAAAGCCTTGCGGAACACCTGGATCCTGTTATGCCCAAAGCTCAAATGTCTGTCAGTTGCTTCTTTTCATACAAGGTGGTTTAAGCTTGTGTATTTGTTGGCTTGACTCTCACTGTTTCAACCTGTATGTTTGGGCTCCTGTTCTTTCTGTTCATAGCTGCCTTTCACATTAGAGAGGATTATGTTTAAATGGAGATGTTGGAGAGCCCCTTGGTTAGGTTTCTCTATGGCACCTGAGCCATGGCATAGGCCAAGAGGGTCACGCATGCAGCTCAGGGTGAAGTACCCTCCACACATCTCAGGGAGAACAACTGTAGTTTCTTCCCAGGAAGGCAGCCACTGCTGGCCATACCAGGCTTTTATTGTAGGTCTGAACAGTGCACACATGTCATGGGCAACAAAAAACCATCTGTCTTCTCCCCAGGTTTCTGACTCAACTCAAGTGGAGGAGACACTGGCTCACTCGCTTTTATCTTCCACTCCCAGACCTGCAACTTCTGTTTTATTATTGGAGGAAGGCAAGCACACGCCACAGCACGTATGGAAGTCAGAGAACACCATTGTACAGTTTTTCCTTCCACCTTTACGTGGGTCCCAAGGATTGAACTCAGGATGTCAGCCTTGTGTGGCAAGCACTTTTACCCACTGAGCCATCTTGCCAGCACTTATTTTATTTTTGAGATAGTGTCTCTCCATGAAGCCCAGGCTGGCTTCAAACTAGACTTAAACTCCTGAGTGATGAAATTATTATCACCCAGCTTACTGGTTTTTTTTTTTTTTTTTTTTTTTTTTTTTTTGTTTTTTTTCAGACAGGGTTTCTTGGTGGCTTTTGAGGCTGTCCTGGAACTTGCTCTTGTAGACCAGGCTGATCTCGAACTCACAGAGATCCAACTGACTCTGCCTCATGAGTGCTGGAACTAAAGGCATGTGACACCCCCGCCTGGCTTTTTTTTTTTTTTTTAAGTTTTTCCAGATAGGGTTTTTCTGTATAACAGCCCTGGCTGTCCTGAAACCTGCTTTATAGACCGGGCTAGCCTTGAACTCACAGAGATCTGCCTGCCTTTGCCTCATAAGTGCCGGGAATAAAGGCGTGCACCACCACTGACACTTGGCATCACTGGGCACTTTTGGACATCCCTTCCATTCCTATCTAATTTTGGTGCTCTGTATACAAGTTGTGTGGTTTGTGATCAGAAAGATCAGAGTTAGAAGCATTGTGAGACAAATGGGCACAGAACCAACCCACTGTGAGATTGGGAGGGGAACCAACAATCCTGCAAGCATGCTAGTCAATCTACAAAGGCCACCCACTCTGCTCCCTCCATGCCCCCTCCTGGGGGATACATGTGCCACTGGAGGTCAGGACTGTGAGTTGCATGGGTCATGTCCAGGTTGCCACAGCAGAGATGGGCACTGATAAGTATGCTTAGGGGGTGAAGGAGGTATGAGGGTCTCCTCAAGAGCCATGGCCCCGTTCTTTCTCCAAACCCTGTGTCTAGAAGCCCATAGGAACTAATTAGCACTTTTCTTCCTTGTCACCTACATTCGGAGTCCCTGGGCACCATCACGTGTCCCTCCACTCTTTCCTTCCTCTTAGTGCTCTGGGGTGTGGATGCAGGGGTAGGCTTCAGTCTCACTTGCTGGAAGTGATGGTGGAATAGCTGTGTGGTGGAAAAACTAGACTTAGTGTTCAGCAGGACAGAGACAGATGCCCCAAGGGCCTGAATCCAGTCTGTGACAAAGGGACTGTACTGGTCACTATCTTCGTGCCCTTTTACCAGATCTGGAAATCTAGAAATGTCCCTTGCTGTTTGAAGCGTCTTCAAAGCCTGGCTAGAGCAAGGCACCAGGGCACTGCCTTGCTCTGGGCCCCAGTCACATGCCTAGATTGTTTGAATAATTCAGATTTAAGAAGACCTACTTTCCTGTTAGGCCATTTCCTGCTAAAGAGCAGATGGGGGAGGGGCATTTGAATTATACATCCATGCTCCCTAGGTTTTTAGAGAAGGCTGGGCACTGAGCCAGCCCCTGGGCAGCTCCACTTCCACCCTGGAGCCCCGCTCAGCTCTGCAGCCACTGCTGATGGAGCCCTGGGTTGGTCACATCTGACTGGGTGTGGCTATGGACTTGCCAGCTGATTTCTGAGCCGTTTCCTGAGAAGGGAGTGTGCCTGGAAAATCAGGAGAGGCCTGGGCTCTGGGCTGTAAGCAGGGATCCCTCAGATTTTTGACTAGCTGTGGAGAGGGCTGAGTAGCAGTGTGGGAGCAAAACAAAACAAAACAAAATGAAACAAAACAAAAACCTACAAGGGGCCTTGGCTGAAGCAGATGGGTGGAAAAGGAGGCTTCAGATCTTCTGGAATACAAAAGGGAAAGCTAGCCTCTTATCTTCAAGGGCAGGGCACTGGCTGTTAGCTGGAGAATGTCCAAGGTCCAGGGCCAGAGGTCCCTGCTGCCTGGGAGGGCACATATCAGAGGGGGATGAGGCCAGGTGTCAGCCTGAAGCTCCAGCTAGGCATCTGAGAATCAGGGGCCAGCCCCTCCCCTCTTCCTTCCTTCCTTCCTTCCCCTCAACTTTGCCCCTCACACCCTGTCCATAAACACATAAATGATGACTTCAGCCAGTGTTGTGGGGCAAGTTCCAGGGAAGGCTCTGCCCCACCCTGAACAATCACAGATCACATGGAGGCATGGAGGCTAAATCTCAGAGCCCGAGGAGGCTGAAGCAGCAGGATCCCAAATTCTAGTCTCTGGGCTGCATAGCTAGTCTCTAAACCACCAGTTCAACCATATCAACCATGTTAGGCTCAGTGTGCCTCATAAGGGACCTTGCTTATGGGCTGGTAATAACTGGGAGCAGGGAGCAGGGAGCTTATGGAACAGGGGAACCCCAGAGCCCCCTGAAAGGCTGTCTGTTGTAAACCCCCCCCATTTTCACTTAGAAGACTTAGGAGTGGCTGAGGGACTCACAGCAACATGGAAGGGTCTGTGGAGTTAACCGGCCTTATATACTTTGGGCTACTTGCTTCTGTCCATTTTCCTTCTATACCACTTCTTCCTTGCCTGCTGGAGTTTGATGACTGCCTTAGAACCAGAGGCCACCTGCCAGCACTCTCTAATTTTCTACTGTTTCTGGACTGTACTCCATGCCCCAACCCCTTCTCTGCGGAACCTTCGGGAGCCTGTGGCCCAGATGTCTCCTGGTTACCCAGCTGTTCATGTTCCTCTGGCTCCACCCTTTTTGGGATCAGCAGTGACTACCAGAGACCTTGTCCCTCTCATTCTTCTCCCAGGTATAGCTCTGGTTGCTGGGTCCTTGACCCTTTCACTTGGAACTCAGAATGCCACTTAGATACTTTTCCCCCAGACCTTAAATATTTCCCAGGATCGTCGGGGGTGTGGGGAGATGAGGGGTGGAGGTATTTGCAGTGGGTGAGGAAGTCTTTACAGGAGTCACAATGCAGTAGGAGATGAACTGGGCAGGACAGCTGGGACTAGGCCACGTTTGAGAAACGAAGCTGACAATGTGTGTTCCTTTAGGACTAGGCCAGTAAGGGCTTGGGAACATCTGGGTAGAAGTAACAGCAGCAAAAGCCTGGCCTTCACAAAGTTATGAAATAGACTCCTCTGGGAAGACCGAGTCATAAGAGACAGTGGAGAGGACTGGGTGGGGAGGGGCAAAGCACAAGATGACCCTGGACTCCACAGGGAGAGGGTAGGATGATGGAGCTGTCAATGACTTCAAGTAAGAGCAACACAAATGACAGTAAGTCAGGTCTTGCTCAGATGGAGTGAAGGACATAGAGGCCCAGGGGTAAAGAGGATATAGAGTGGGGCATTGATAGCAATGATGGCTATACTGGAGATAACTGGCACCGGGATCTTTACTCTCAAAGCAGAGGGTCACTGACATGGACGGACGAAAATATCATTGAACCGTGCAGCATTTTAAAGAGAGCACACCAATGTCCACATGCCTGTTTGTATATATGTGTTTCCATGCATATATGTGTTTTCCCTCAGGCTGTCTGCTCACCCAGCTAGAAGCAATGGCACTTCCCTAGCAATCCCCAGCGCCTGAATCTGCACTTCTACTGCCCACTAGCAGGAGCCTAGGACTCTTGAAAGCTGAGAAGTGGCTCTTGTTTCAGAGCGGTTAGTGGAGGCCTGGAGGAAGCAAGAGACTGTTTTGTAAAGGACAGAATGGGAGTGAAGAAGTCAGTGTGGCAGGAGTCCTTGTTAGCCCAAGGCGGAGGCTGGAATAAAAGGCAAGACGGACTGCACATGGCACGTGTTACAGACTCTGGGGGTTGCTGTCCCACCTGGCTACTCTTGCGGGGATTAGCCGCCCTCCACCCCACCCCCGTTAGGCCGCTCACCTACGCCCTCCAGCCCGGGAGGGCCGGACACACAGGCAGAACACACCGCCCTCTGGCTTGGGGCACGTGGCATTGGAGCCGACACCAGCAATCTAAGGCCCGAGGCCACCGAGACCGATCTGCAGGTCGCCCCCTCGAAGACCCCCGAGAAGGGTCCCGACGCCTTTAAGCCGCTCGCGCACGCGCAGAGGCGAGGAGGGCGGGGCGGAGGGCGCAGCACGCGCACGCTGCCCGTGCGCAGTGACGCGACGTGGGGTTTCCCGAGGCTGCAGGCAGGGGCCGCCGCGCCCATCCTGATGGCTGGAGGCGTCTGAG